TTTGTTGGTATGCTGGTTACTCCAAAAATCTATTCAATATTCTCATTAAAGAAATTACTGAAGATTTATTTTCCTAGGGTGAAATCCTGGCCCCAATGAAGTCAATGTCAGTATGCCATTGACTTTAATGAGGCCAGGATTTCACCCCCAGTAATCATTCTGAAAGCTAACTTAAAATATACGACGAGTCTTTTATCATAGTACATTTCTTTGGTTAACCAAGATCATATAGCCACTTCCAACCCCAAATACATTATTTTTAAATGACTGAAGTGTTTTGAAATGTTGAGAAAGTTGCTATGGGACTGACAGAAATACAAGATAAAACCTACCGGTATATTGTCCCTGAGAACAAAAAACAGCTATGAGAGTTTCATCACATATGTGTTCATAGATGTCTATATCATCTGACTGCCTTCCAGTTTGTGGCATTTGTTTTTTTAATGAATTCTGGGGTATTTTTCTGCACTATTGTTACATATTGCTATGCACCATACCTGCAGCAATTTTGGTGGAGTATTTTTGATCACATAGCAGCACTGTTTCTAATTAGTGTCCTTTCCTCCATCAGATCAACACTGGGAAACTGATTAAAAAACAATAGAAGGCTGTTATAATGAACATTCCTTAATCTCTGACCCATCCAGTTTTGCCCATGGGAGAATTTCCATAGACCTACCTAATCTCCTAATGCTAATGTATACCCAGGAAATTTAGGTAAACAAAAACCAACCGTTTTTATGGAGTTGCTCAGAGCCTCCCACTGCTGGAATGGAATGGTAATTTTGCTTTGTCGCCAGTAATCATAACAAGCTCGACTTTCTTCGTTAGTAAGTATCTCTTTAGCCTGCTGCAGCTTCTGAAAATTCTCCACTAGAACACAAACCAAAGGATGTTACATTAAATACTTATTTTTAAATAAATTAATTCCCTTGTGGAACAGGAATGACCAATAAATAGCTATGTAACAGCAACACAGGTTGGGGCAGAAAAAGAGAAAAAAAGAGTGATGAAGAGCTGTGGCAGTTCTGCTCACTGCTTTGAGGAAGTCTTAGCTGACTCAACAGCTAACACCTTTAGTGGACAATTGATGCCCTCTTTCAGATGAACAATTCAATGCAAATGTGGAGCCTTTTTGTCTCTTGGTTTAGAAGCTTTATAAACTTGAGGGCTATCAAAATTATGTGGTATTCAAAGCAAAACACATGAGGTGTCGCCCTGTTTAAACACCAACATTGCAATAGCATGACAGCATTTCACAAGGTACATAGCATGATCCGAAGCAGCAAGGAAGTTAGAGCAGAACACACCACCAAGGGACAGTAAGAAAGAAGCATAATGACATTATGTGAGCAGCAACCAGAAGAATCTTAACATAGCATAGTAGAGGTTAGCTAATGGCATTGCTTAACCTCACATCTTTTGTGTGTGTAATAAGATATTAACTTACATTCCAGATTGTGTGAATAAGATCTCTTATTTCTCTTGAAGGAGCAAAAATTCTTTATAAAATGGTTGTTAAGGATGCAGCTGTGTGTTACTATTTGTGTAAAGGTTACAAAGATTTACATTTTATCTGTGAGTCATCCTTATTAGAGTGGCTTATTATTATTATTATTATTTATTTATTCCGGTTTATAGTAGAGACTTCTTTTGAAATATGCTGAACTCAAACACTAACCAAAGCTGATAAGCATAAATCAAACAACACACAGGATTTTTTTTTCTTATTTCTGTTTCTTTTTTCCAGTGTGACCAGTTTTGGGGGTATAAAAAGCAGTCTAGTTTGATAGTTATTTTTTAATATGCTGGTATTGAAATGAATCAATGAGTCAATGTTTACTGTACTGTGAAAATGTAAGACATTTAGTAGACTGTTACAGTAAATGAAGCATAAACTGTTTGCTCTTAATACACAAGACTGCTCCACTATTTGGGTCTTAGGCTCCCCCCCCTTTTTTTTTTTTTAATGATTTATTTTTACTTCAATTTAACACTAAAAATTCCAAGCAATGGACCAGATTTGGGTCTCACTTATGCCTCTGCCTCCTCACTGAAGTCGATGGGGTAGCCTCCGTTTATTTACGGAAGAATTTGGTCCTCTTATCCAGTTGCTCTTTCAAGTATGTTTAAATATATTTTGGAAAGTAGGATTTAAGATCATTTTGTAAAAGGTGGGCTCTTCAACAAATTTTGGAGGGATCCCTCTCAGGCTCTCTCAGAATGAAGAATCACACCCCATTTTATTTTTTATTCCCCCATCAATCTACTAGGCCTCAACTCACATTTCAGAAAGCCAAGAAGAGCTAAGTGCAACTTAATGCCACTCTCAAGACATCTGAAGGTGTCAGCAGACAGTGAGTACTCTTTCATCCTCTTGAGTGTAGTGCCTCTACTATTCTGGGAGAAGGGTGCAAGCAAGAATCCCAAACTGTGTGGTTGCTACCACTATGTTTGTCAGTGTGCCTCCAATTAGACTGAGAGAAAATCTGAATAGGCATTTTTGTGCATTAACCAAAATGGAACATTTTATTTAGTTATTCTGCAATAATGCTTTCAAAGGGCTTTAAGAACTCAGCAGTCTATAGCTGAGAATATTTTAAACTGGGAGAAGAGGTCCTGCTTCTGCTCCCTTTCGTCATATGGGCTGGGATTTTCAAAGGGGCCTAAGGGAGTTGAAATTTCAAAAAGATTTGGATGTCTAATTTCCTTAAATCACTTTGAAAATCCCAGTCATCATGTAGTTCCTCACTCTAAGAATAGTCCCACTGATTTCAATATAAGTAGCTGGAGACAGAATCAGCTTCAAAGTTTTTGGGTGGAGTATCAGAAATGTGCATCACAGAGCACTGTCCTGTTATAACTGGTTTAATACAAACATGTCCAATATTAAGTGTTGCACTCTGTCATCAAATTAATCTTTGTTTTGGGAGTTTTCCATGTACTATAATTTCCATGATCTGGGCCTATGATGTTTGTATACATAGATGCACTAATTTGGTGTCCAACAACACATTTGGCAATACATGGAAACTTAATGAAGAGTAGGGAATGATCACCTTCAATATACTGTTTATCTTATTTTTTTCTGTGCATTTTGTATAGACATAAAGAAGGCCAGAGCAGGCATTCAAAATGTTTGTGGTCATTGATGACAGTGACCCTGTTGGTTATGGATAGATAAACCTCAGAGTATCCAGTTTTTCCTCAAGGCACTGTTATGGGGGCAAGGTTAAGATTATTTGCGTGACTGACAGCATTTCCAGAATTTCTAATGTTTGTTGTTGGTCTGTGGAGAGCTGGCCTGTCACATGGTGCTGGGTCCTCCTTATTTCCAGCTGCTAACTTACATTAAAAGAAGCTAAAATACATTAAATATTTTCCTAATGTTACTTTTCATATGAGCAATTATTGTAGTTAACCCAAATATGTCATTTGATTCCCAGTGGGAGAGGAGATAGTCCATGCAATCATGCATGGGAGGGGATGTGGGCCACAAGACAATCTCTGGTTTTAAATGTGCATCATCCTATAAACGTTTTTTGACAAATCCTGGACTAGATAATCAAACAAGTGTCTTCCTGTTCTAATATCCATGATTGTGTAAGCGTTACAGCAAAATATTAAGGCTTGATATTTAAGAGAGTACATTCCATATATGTAAAAATTATAGAATATTAAAATGGGAATCAATATTTACTGATGGCTTTTAGGCTACATTCAATGCCTTAATTATAATTTAAGGCAATAGATTGTTTTTAAATAGGAAAGACTACATACCAGCTTTAGGGTTTCCAGGATGTTTGTCAGGGTGACACTCAAGGGCTTTAACCTTAAACTCTGCAAGAATTTGTTCAACCTAAATAGAATATCAACATTTAAAATACATAAATACATACATACACACACACACACACAAAGGTTTTTGGGATTGGGCTTTTGGGCGGGGGAAGACTCGGGGAGGGGTGGTGTTTTGCTCCCTTGATTTTACAAGATCCTGTATAATCAAAATATATAACAAGAACCATCTGACAGCTGTGTCACTAATTTAGTTTTGTTCTCTGTACTCCCGTCTTTACCCTTTTCTTCATGAACATGTATTTTTCCATAGCTGTACGCTTTGGTTTTAAGAAAACTGTAAGTAAAGGTTCACACTTACATACAGATTGTTGGAACTAGGTACTCAGCAGAGAGACTAGTTACCAATACATCTCTAAAAACTATTTATATGCAGGGATTTTAAATGACAAGGTTTACAGTAACATTACTTTTTGAAAATGTAATCTCATTTCTTTTCAGACCTAAATATAACATGAATTATTAATATATAAATAAGATAATAAAAATAAGCTAAGGAAAAATATTAAGATATATAGAGAGAGTAATAGATTTTACCAAGTAAGGAGTCTGGGACTCCCCTAAACTGAAACAACACTTCCGGATGTAGGAGGCTATAGATTTGACCATCCCTCTCTCTCTCAAACCTGCAGATTCAGGAGATGCAAGGGGCTTCTTTATGGAAGCACTTTGCTGCACTGCCCTGTCATGCCTCTGCCCCCTTCAGTTCCTCCACTCCCTTGAGGATTGATGCTGCAAGGGGCTGAGTATGCTAGCCCTGATCCAGCAAAGTACATAATCAACTTTAACTACATGAGCAATTCCACTGAAATGAATGGAACTACTCGTGCTCAAGTGCTTTGCAAAATTGGAATCAGAGGACTCAGCATCTTTCAGGATCAAGGCCCAAGCTGGGATCTGCAGGAGTAGGCTTGCCACTGAAAATGCATGGAAGAGAAAGCACGGGAGCCTATGTTGCTATAAATATTTAAACCATATTTTGAATATGTTTTCATTAGATGACAATTTTATTATACAAATTATTTTTTAAATGTTGAAAGTATTGCCGTTTTAAAAATACAATAAAATATGTTTTTTCTATAGGCATGTAATAGTGGTACTCAGAAGAGTCACAATCTCACATATACAATTCCTACTCACAGGGCAGCAGTAAACAAAGAGCATTGGTTGCATCTCTGAATAAATAATGTGTAACAGATTACTTTTCAGAACCAGTAAGCAGTTATTACAACACATTATTTTTCACTTCAAAGTAACTTTAAAAAAGGCTTACAGTATGTGCTTGAAGTATGCATCTCTTCCCAAGACTATAAAACAGAATTATTGAATTAACCTTTTTCATCTGTTAAAAAAAGCTGAAATAAAGCTAAAATAAAAAAATTAGTACTGCCACCTGCTGGGATGTCTTAAAACTCCTCTCCGAAAATGCTTAAACTTGTTTTCAATAATAGATTAAGAATTCTATATTTTTCTAACTATATTTACATATGTATTTGGGCGCACATCAAGGACTTTTGTCTATATTAGTGATAAAATATTGGTAGAGTATTAAATTACATTTGCAGAAGAAAGCATTTAACCCATATATAATATTAACAATTATAGCAGAAATGTTAGAAAGCAAAAAGCCTAACACCCAGTACTACTTCAATTGACAGAGAAGCTAGTTTTAAAATTTTAGCATGTTCCTGAATTTGCATAATTAGAAAATGTAATTTAGGACAATTTTAGTAAGTAGAGGAACTCTTGTTTTAGTTACAGTCATCCAAAGCTTTTGAGATAGATTTTATCCTAAGGTATGAGATGACATGTAACGGCTACCAAAGTGAGTCTAGAAAACTAGCATTTGAACATCAGTATTTTGGGGTAGGAAAGGAGGGGCTAGGGTGGGGTTTGTTTGAAACACATTTTTTTCTCCCAAGCAATGGCTATATTTTTCCAAAAGTGATACACCTCTACCCCGATATAATGCAACCCGATATAACATGAATTCGGATATAACGCGGTAAAGCAGCACTCCCAGGGGGTGAGGGGGGGCTACGCGCTCCGGTGGATCAAAGCAAGAACGCAGTTTCACCTATAACGTGGTAAGATTTTTTGGCTCCCGAGGACAGCATTATATTGGGGTAGAGGTGTATATTATTATCTTAGAAACTGAATATCATTACTAATTATTGACAAAGAGGAGAACATTTTTACATTTCTTATATTAGTTGCACTGACAATACTTATCTGCTGCCACCTTTTAAGTACATCAATATATTGTATAACAGCCTACAAATAATATTTTACAAGTGTTTCAAAGTGCATTCTGACATCACACATGGAACTAACTTAATAAACAAATTATTTACATTAAAAATAAGCTATTCAAGATGTTACAATACAGCTTTGTGTTACAGAGTATCTTTACTATGAACTATATTCTAAAAGCTTCATTGTGTCAAAGAAATCAGTTACTGAGATTAATAGAGGAAGAGAAATTCAAAGATATTATGTAGGTAAGAGAGCAGGTACATGTTGCATTTCAAATAATCATACATTCACAGATAAACATTAACTTCAAACTCCCCTTGAAAGCATACAAAGCCAAAACAAGCTATCATTAACATGGCAAAGAAAACAGAATTACTCTTTTACCGTGGATAGTTCATCACATCCTAGCAAGATGTAATAATCTTCCATATCATCCAGATTGCAGTTCAAAATTGCATCCATTTGGACTAGCCAAACAGCTTTTTTCCCCAACAGCTGATGCGCACCAAGAGGAAAGTATAAACTGTCAATAGAAAGCTTATAGGATTGTCTAAATGTAGCCCAGGGAAAACTGCTTTTTGCAGTCTGGTTTAGGGCTCCCTACAGCGCTTTTTAATACACTGAGATGTCATCCGAGATTCCTGAATTCTCTGTTTGTCATTGGTTCTTTACAGGAGGACTGTAACATTGCACAAGCCTGGTGTCTGCAATGCTCTCTGGGATTTGTAGTTTTCAAGGTAATTTAAGTATTATTCAACTGTATGATCTGCCTCTTCAGACTGAAAAGCATTCAGGATACCAAATAAAATCTTGCTATCATTTTAGGCCTGGATCATGCTATGACTTATGCTTAGGCTTAATTTTAAGCAGTAGTCGTCCTACTGATTTCAGTGAGACTATGTACATGCTTAAGTGTTTTGCTGGACTGGGCCCTAAATCTACTAAAACAAATTTTTCTTCTGCTATAAATTGTAATTTTTGCCTCAATTTTAGGAAGGGAAAAACATGCATCAAGTATGGAAGAGCATAGCAATTACTTTAAATTATGATCACAGGATTGCTAACTTTTTCAGAATGAAATCCGAGACCCACTGAACTCATTAAGAGTTTTGCCACTGACTTCAGTAGAGCCAGGATTTCATCTTGATCTTTCTAGGAGCACACAGGCTAGGAAAATTAATTAATTACCACCACATTTACTGTTTTAGGCTTTTTTGTGTCAATTCCGTATTCCATAATGTTAAAACTATTTGAAGACAATATAAAGTATTCACTCTTTGATTATGGTGACTGTTGGGACTTTCTGATTTCTCAAGAGTAATAAAGAGATTCTTGGTGGAGATCTTTAAACCTCTAATTGAGAATCCCTTGCAAGTTGTGTTTCTTGGGAATTACATGCATATACTTTTCTTTTAACCCATTTTACTGTCAAGTGTTATTAAATTATTCAGGTTTAAAATATGATTAATGATTAAGGCCTCCATCTGACAAAGACTCATAGATGTGTGCTCAACTTTATACATGTAATAAGGCCCATTGATTTCATATGTAAAATTAAGCATGTCATAGAATCATAGAATATTAGGGTTGGAAGAGACCTCGGGAGGTCATCTAGTCCAACCCCCTGCTCAAAGCAGGACCAACCCCAACTAAATCATCCAAGCTGGGCCTTAAAAACCTCTAAAGACAGAGATTCCACCACCTCCCTAGGTAACCCATTCCACTGCTTCACCACCCTCCCAGTGAAATAGTTTTTCCTAATATCCAACCTAGACCTCCCCCACTGCAACTTGCGACCATTGCTCCTTGTTCTGTCATCTGCCACCACTGAGAACAGCCTAGCTCCATTCTCTTTGGAACCCCCCTTCAGGTAGCTGAAGGCTGTTATCAAATCCCCCCTCAGTCTTATTTTCTGCAGACTAAATAAGCCCAGTTCCCTCAGCCTCTCCTCATAAATCATGTGCCCCAACCCCCTAATCATTTTCGTTGCCCTCCACTGGACTCTCTATATTTGCATGAGTCTTTGCAGAATTGGATGAACTAAGCAGCTCATTTTTCTTTTTTTTTGTTTCATTTATCCCTTTTTCTGTAAGAACTTTGTAGCCCAAGATGTTTAATGGCATTAAATATTGCTGATAGCTTTTAAAACACATAATTTCTGTGAAATAAATTAATGTAGTCACTATTTTATGTACTTTGTTTTTGCATATGGTTACTTAGTAGGCTTAGCAGCCCATGCTAGAAATGTAAATATAAATGTTTAGGTAGAGGATGGCAAAGGATCCAGAGGCAGATTTACTGTTGTTTATGAAACCTTAACTATGATTTCTACCCTTGCAAATGGTATTTTATAACTACAGAAGTAAAACTGTCATACTATAAATTTACAGATGTTCTTCCACAACCATAACTGACTAAAGGTGGTTTTATTGTTAGAGTTTCCTTAGTTTTGTATTGTATATTCATAAAGTTTATTAGGATAGGGAATTGTAGATATAGTATAGAGAGAAGGAAATATTAATTCAATTACAAGACAACATTAATTTAATGAATCAGTACTGAAAACATTTTAGTGTGTTAAAATCACAAATATAGCTCCTCTGGAGAAGTCTTAAAACTCTATCTGCTCTGTTGGGTTTATTTTGTTTTTTTTTAAATAGTTGGAAGAAATCAACAAAGTCCTGAAAAATTGCTTTCCAGTTCCCAACTGAAGGATGTAGATCAGGGGTTCTCAGCCTTTTTATTTCTGAGGCTCCCCAACATGCTATAAAACCTCCATTCCCTACCTGTGCCACAACAACTGTTTTTCTGAATATAAAAACCAGGGCCGGCATTAAGGGGTAGTAAGCAGGGCAATTGCCCAGGGCCCCATGCCACAGTGGGCCCTGCATAGCTAAGCTGCTCAGGCTTCAGCTTCAGGCCTGGGTGGCGGGGCTCGGGGAGGTGGAGCTTTGGCTTTCTGTCCTGACACAAGTGAGTCTAATGCTGGCCCTGCTTGGCGGACTCCCTGAAACCTGCTCACAGTCCACCAGGGGCCTCAGACCCCTGGTTGAGAACCGCTGATGTAGAGAACCAAACAATAATAATAAAGAAAAGGCTCTCTTGGTGAAAATCTTTATTACATTTTTAAATATGGAATACTGCACACATTAGTAATTATTTAGGACTAAACTGTGCCATCTGTGAGGGGCAATGCATAGGTGCAGTAGCTCCCGGGAACAATCTTTCCTCAAAAAAGGCACCCTCTCTCACACTCTCTCTCAAGTTTCTACTGTGAAGAGTAATTTACAGCATCTCTTTGTTAACCTGTAGCATACTTCCCACCATCATACCAACCAATAACATTTTCAAATTAATTTAAAGGAGAGTTGTGGTAGTACTCAATTTGCTAATAAAGCCTAAAGAGAGGCTGATTAAGGGCTGCAGAGAGCCATGTAAGGTGGGGGGCTATAGATTTGGCCCCTACACCTGACCCTCCTCCCATCTCAGGCACTCCCTCCCCCGTGGTGTGATCATCCCACTGGCCCATAAGCCCCTACACCCATCCCCTTCAAATCTGAGTGAGTTGCAACTAGGTGCACAGGGTCACAGCGCCACTCAGGTTTGGCTTGGCCAAAAGTACACAATAGCTTTATGCAGGGAATAACATTTTGAAGTTGGGAGTTTTGGGTTGTAAACAGCAATCTCCCTGACATAATGGGAGACTTGATCAATATGCCCATCCTGTGACCAGTCAGTTCTGCTGCCCAGCACATTGGTGTCAGGAGACAGCTATGGCTCTACCTACTCCTGCCTGACTCACTTCTACCTTAGAAGTGTATGGGGGTGGGGGGAGAATCCTTACTCTCACCCACTCCCCTGTATGGCTACATTAGAGATAGGTATAGTCTACCCCTTTAGGATAGTTCAGCATAACATATTAACACACATACATATAGGCCAGGGGTGAGCAAACTACAGCCCGTGAGCCGTTTTAAGCCAGCCCGCAAGCTGCACCTCGCTCCCGCTCCGGCCCTCTGGCCGCACTCCGGCGCTCTGGCTGGGGCGCTGGGTCGGGGCCGGACCACATGGCTTGGCCCCACTCCAGTGCTCCAGCCAGGGTGCTGGGTTGAGGGCTGCATCACGCAGCTCCCGGAAGCTGCAGCATAACCTTGCTCCAGCTCCTACACGCTCCAATGGGAGCTGCAGGGGTGGTGCCTGCGGACAGGGCACCATTCAGAGCTGCCTGGCCTGGCCTCTGCGAAGGAGGCGGAGTGGGGGACATGACACTGCTTCCAGGAGCCACTTGAGGTAAGCGCCGCTCGGAGCCTGCACCCCCTGAACCTTTCCCCATACCCCAACTCCCTGCCTCAGCCCTAATCCCCCTCCCACTCTCCAAACCCCTCGATCCCAGCCCGGAGAACCCTCCTACACCCCAAACCTCTCATCTCCAACCCCACGCCAGAGCCCGCACCCCCAGCCGGAACCTGCACTGATTCCCACACTCCTGCCCCAGCCCTGATCCCCCTCCCACCCTCTGAACCCCTCAGTCCCAGCCCAGAGCACCCTCCTACACCCCAAACTCCTCATCCCCAGCTCCACCCCAGAGCCCACACCCCAACCCCAATTTTGTGAGCATTCATGGCCCGCCATACAATTTCTAGTCCCCGATGTGACCCTCGGGCGAAAAAGTTTGCCCACCCTTGATACAGGCGGAAAATTCTGCCACTCTTACTCAGGATAAGTAGTATCTTACTCAACAAGTAGTCCCAGATTTCAGTAGGGCTATTCCTGGAGTAAGGTACAACTCAACATAAGTAAAGATGGCAGAATCTGTCCCAGGGATAATAAATACAAAGGATATGAAAGAGAAAAATATTGTTAAGATGTATTGAAAGTGAAATAACACAGACCAGGAAATGGCAGGATCTAAATGAAGTTTTGCCATTCAGTTACAAAAGGTTACCTACAAATCTGTTTACATGATTTACACTGTTTACACTTCTAAGTAAGCGTACATAGCACAGATGACGAAGTCTCATATTTGTAATTCTGTACTAGCCAATTACAAACAGAATATTATCTCCAATATTGTTTACACAGTATTACTTATATGTGAATCAACAGGGTCCAATCCTGGTTCCAGTGAATGCAATGGAAGTTTTGCCATGATTTGGCCCTTCATGCACAAACAAGAAAATCTAGTATGTGTAATTCTGTACTTTGTAGTTTCCAAATAGTTTATTTCCATTCATTTACCAAATAAGACTGGTGCACTGAGCTCAGGAAATACTGAACTTCAGTGGCTATTTTTCTTAAAGAAGGATCAGAGGAGGAGGAGGAGGAGGACTGGAATCCTTAACTATGGATATATTTAAAAGAAAAATAACCCCCCAAAAACAAACAAACAAACAAAAAACAAAAACAAAACAAGGCACAAGAAGTGTGATATGAAAGAATTTTTAATTTCATGCACTGTACTTGCTAGCTTTAATTTTGTATTGCGTTTATTTACATATTTTCTCTGTGTTTTGGTTGTCCTCCTATGGTAGAGAACTTCCAGTAACTGTATGAAGTTTGATCACTTCCATTGACTTCAGATAGAAGTGTTGTGTTT